TCTCATAATAAAAAATCCTAAGAAATTAATCTAAATTTTGTAAAATAACCATACAAGTAGTCTTTGATAAATGGCTAAATAGTAATTAGATATCAAGAATTGGTAAGTTGTAGAAAAAAACGAGAAAGTCTCTGAAGCGTTGGATTTGTTATTAGGTTCTTCAACAACTCCATGGTATACACCATTGGAGAAGTAAATACTCCATGGGAACAATTTATTCTTCTTTTTGTTGGTGTGGGAAAAAGCAGAATCAATTCCGTTGCACATTAATAGACAAAGTGAATATCATGCCTATCCATATATCTAGCTTTTTGGGAAAATGGAAGAAATGCAAAGACACCCATCAAAAGTTGAAGTATCACATATATTTTGGCTCTTCCTTTTGTTTCTCTTCATTTTCTTTTTTATTTGGGTAAATTTTTTCATTTGCTATCATCCATTCTGTGTTAATCTCTCGGTATGTATGGTTAGGTCATTACTTATAGAGTTTGATTTATGTATACCCTTGGAAACCCTTTTCCTTTCCCTTTGAAACATAAACATGTTGTAATTCATATGTCAAGCATAATATGAAAGATGAAGGTAAAGATTAAATATAAGTAGAGTGAAAATTAAACTGAGGGCTGTAGTTTATTAAAGAGATAAAGGAGTTAAGATAACCATGAAAGTGAGAAGAGAGAAAGGACAAAAAGAAAAAAAAAAAAAAACACAGAAAGCAATGTTATGTAGATGAGATCATCAAATATGAATAGTGGAGCCTTGGTCCTCTCTCTCTCTCTCTCTCTCTCTCTCTTCTTTTCTTGTGGATTTATATTATGTAGACCTTTTGTAAAGTTAGTGAACAAAATTGTGAAAACGATGATACATTTTTTTCTAAATTTTCACCATCTTCTTCCTTTTTAGAGGTGGGGAAGAACATAAAAGACATTTGTGGAGATAGCTTCAGCAAATTTATCATTATCTAAATAAAAAAATATATTAAAGTCAATTATTTTTACTATAAGATTAGAAGAATTAAAGAAAAAAGTAACTTCTATATGTGATGTAGTACAAAGAATCCATTTATGTACACCTGGTTTTTTTTAATATATGTACTGTGTATAGAATTTTCTTTAAAGTATACTCCAATGTTATATATATATATATATATATATACATGTATTATATGATATCCCAACAAATAATTAATTAAGGAAAACTTTTATACGTATACTTTTGTACAAAGAATCCTTTTGGTGAATGAAAAAAGCTATGAAATAAAAAACTGAAGGTCATGGTGGAACATGTGATCATAGTGAAATATTAAACTACTCATCCACATATATATATATATATATAATATCAAATTCTTGAGTTGTCAAATACACATACTGAGAATCTTTAGTGAAATTGTTATACAAATAAAATATACAAGTAACTACCAACCGAAAACAGAAAGAAAAAAAAAAAAAAGAACTTTTCAATCAATATTATAACTTAATAACATTCGTCCAAGAAATAGATGAACATATATGAGGAGATCAAGAGAATTCCATGGAAATTAATTTGAAAATCTCGAAAATTCGGAAAAATAATGACGAATGACAAATCTACAGTATATATATATATATATATGCAAAGATTCAGACATGTCATATAAATCCTGATGCTGTCCGGATGAACCCTACCATCATTTTAAAGGTCACGCCAAATCACACTTATATATGTGTATATATATTACCAAGAATATAATTCCACCCAAAATAAATAAAAAATAATTAATTTTGTTATAAATATATTTATATTGATGGAAGAATATATGCATTTCCAAAAATATATTAACTTTGCAAAACCATTAACAAAAAGGATACGCCACCTACTCCCCTTCGAATTTCAGACTTTTATTCTAATTAATGAAAACTAGTATGAGGCTCTTATAGTACAACTGGATTCTGCACTCACATTTCGTCCAATCAATCAAATATATATACATGCATATGTATCTATAAGTGTGTGTGTGTGTGTGTCTGTGTGTATATATGCTCCCTCTTAATTAATTTATATTCCTTCCAAGAGATGTGTAATGGAATGTGCGTATATAAAATTACAAGGCAAAGTTAAAATTATTACTCTCTAAATTATTCTTATGCCTTTTTGATGTAGTAACATATATTTTTCTTCTATTTATTACACCAAAAAATATGTTAAAAAGCTCACCAAAAATATATACTACGTATATATATATATATATATATATATATATAGTTTTTAAAATAATGGGACAAGTTTGGCAAGAAGTCAACCAATAGTCAAATTAACTGTTAACTAAATTAATTAGTGAATAATTGTATATTTCTTCTAAGATATATAAGAATGTGCAGTGTATGTATATAGAATTTTAAATGATTAGAGGGCCGGTGATTAGTGTTAGATACTATATTCATATATTCTCTTGATCATCATTACCTAGAGAATCAGGCGTATGCACCGTGTCAGTATATATAGGATTCATATGTATGTGTATGTTATATAATTAAATATGTATTACTATGTAATATATAATTAGTATTGATTAATTTCAATTAAGAGAAGGAAATGCCTCAGTAAACAAAAACAGAAAGTTGATCTCTATAGATATCTCATTACAAAAGAAGCCTGGACATTACTTCTCAGATACTTTGACCTTATTTAAAGCTTAAATTTTAGTGTATACATTTTATCACCAGACATATATATATATATATATGTATATATGTGTGTATGTAAATTACAGATATAGAGCTGAGTGGTGGGTTAAGTTCTGATTAAAGCCATATAGCTCCTGCTTCTTTGAGTAACCTTTTCAAGGAGCCATTGAGCTGAAGAGTCATGATGGTGTTGGCACAGCCTATAAACTTTCCGCCAATAAAGACAGCCGGAACAGCAGGGTTGCAGCCCAACCTAATCAATGCACGCTCCATTTCTTTCCCTCTCGAGTCCTGGTCCAGCTCGTAGATCGCCGGACTCACACCCTGCTCGTAAAACAGTCTCTTGATTGCATGGCTCATGCAGCACGAGCTCTTGCTGAAAA